TGAACCGGACTTCATCTGAAGCTACAAAGGCCGTAAGCCCCACATCCTGTGTCCTAGACTAAGACCACAAAAGGGTTTAGGGTTTTGGGGTTTTGGGGGTTAGGGTTTTGGGTTTAGGGTTTCGGGGTTTAGGGTCCCTAGCCTAGATGGACTTCCTTGCGGACCAGGACCCTCCTTTAGGGGTTTGCGAAGGTGAAGGGCTGAGGTGCCTCAGCCTTTCTGAACCCATTACCCACTGAGGCAAGCGCGGCGGAGAAGGAAGCCAAGAAGACCAATGCCTCAGGCAGCAGGGGGAGGTGTTTAGTATGGGGGGGGGAGTTCAGTATAAGTAAGTAACCCTAACCTCTAAACCCTAAACCCTAATCCCTAATCCTACATAGGGTTTGGGTTCTTGGGGTGTGCAGGTTACCCCTTACGCGTTTGGCTTTAAGAGCTGGGACTCGGCTTAAAACCACAGTTTAGGCTTCAGCTGCCTCGCAGCAAAAGCTAAAGGCAAATCAACAAAGAACACCTGCATAAAAAGCTGCAATCGGATTGTCCTAAACCGATTCTGAGCCAAGTCATCAAAACCTAAAATGGCGTCTCTGTGAGAATTTCCTAGCAAGACCTGCTTCCCACCCCTCCCCAAAACTGAGGCCTAAGTCAACTCAAATTGCGCCTCATCTGGTCTGTTTGGAGTGGGGGGGGTGAAGGTACTCCTGAACCACCCTAAACTCTACAAAACCGCTTTATGGTAGTTTCCATTTTCTTTTCCATTATCCCTATATAAGCCCAATATATACCCTATAATTAGTGTATAATAACTCTTATGTACCCCCAAACTAGCAAGGACACCCACACAGACCTCTCTTAGAAGGGCAGTTGTCCTTGTAGGCCGACCTGGGGCCTGTAATGGAACTCAGAGCAGAGATCCGCACGGTTTAGGGCTTAGGTTTTAGGGTTTAGGGGTTTAGGGTTTAGGGTTTAGGGTGTAGGATTTAGGGTTTAAAGTTTAGGATCCCTACACCTAAACATGCACTGACTGAGCTTCGGACGCGAATCATGGTGGTGATCCGATGTCGGTCAGGATGTTGCTGCTTTGCTAGCTTTATTGCTGGAGCCCGCTGACCAAGAAGCATGCAATGATTTGTGGGAACAGGAGATGGTGCTCATTCTTTGTTCGGATGTTGGTTTGAAGAACACATGATTGTTCCCATATTGAGTGTTCGCATAATGGAATTCAAAATGATGTCCAACAATGACCCAGTGCTGCTAAAGGACTGAAAGATCAGCAGCACTTGATCACCACAAAATACACCAACAATGAAGCCTGACTGAAGCAACCCTGCTGTGGGATCATTCATGTCAGTATGTCCCCAACTTCGGAGTCGGTGCGGCTTGTGAATTCTCCTAGACTGCTGCATCGAACTACGAAAGAGAGAAGACTCAAATGGTATCCCAAATTCCAAAGCAGCAATTAAATCTGAAGCAATGCTGTTGGGGAGCTCTTTAGGGGCAACTCAAAGCCCTGAACCCCCTTGCGCGACGTTTTCTTGCTTGACTGCTTGAATCCACCAACGCTCGCTGAAGAGGACAGACCTAGGTGTTTGAGACAAAGTTTAAAAGTGCTCGGTTGAGGTTGGTAGGTTTAAGGCCCCTAAACCCTAAAACCAAAAACCCCAAGATTCCATAATGCGTTCTGCAGGAACCAATGAACAGGACTTATAACCTTGAAAAAGACCCGCAACTTGGGAAGACTTGGGGCCTATCCTTAGCCACTCAAGGGTTCAGGTCTTCTCAGGCTCCGGGATGCTTAGGACATGGGGCTTAAGGCTCAGCAATGTTTACGTAGGGTTTAGGGTTTAAGGCTTTTGGATGCTTAGGGTTTAGGGTTTAAGGCTTTTGGATGCTTAGGGTTTAGGGTTTGAGGCTATTGGATGCTTAGGGTTTAGGGTTTAAGGCTTTTGGATGCTTAGGGTTTAGGGTTTTGGATGCTTAGGGTTCAGGGTTTAAGGCTCGGGGCCTAAGGGATGTTTAGGGTTTAAGTTTAGGGGACACCCACTCAGCGAAGGGGCGCGTACAAAAGAAAAGCCAAGTCTGAAGGCTCGAACGTCGGTTCGGGTTTAGGGTTTAGAGGTTTGCGGTTTAGGGGTTTAGGGGTTTGAGGATATGGAGTTTGTCAAAGAAGTGCACCCTAGGGCTAATATGGAGATGCTAAATTGCTTTCAGTTTTCCTTAGGCATTGCGGAGGGCTGATATACCCACATGGCTTAGGGCTCAGTTTAGGGTCTCAGGATTCGGACGCGAAAGCGCTGAAGATGCAGGATTTTCAGGCTTGATCGCGTTGCATTGTTCTACTCATCAAAATCAGAACTAATGCCCGCAACATGTGAGCAATCATCAACGCATGTGCATGGCCCGTACGATGATCCTTCTTCGTGATGCTGGTACACCCTGAGCATTGCTACATCTGAAATAAAGAGCCTAAAGGCCTAACGACCCCTCGCCAGCAAACGCTACCAACCAGCCGTTTTCAAGTAACATTTGAAGCCGGGGCAACACGGACTGCACAACATCAAACAAACCCCAATGGCTAAAACAACATCTCAAACGCTCAAAGCCAGTATAGCATGCAGACATGCAGACATACTCGAACCCAAGACGCAAAAAAACAAAATTGTGTGCAAACAAACAAGCTCCAAGTAGCATCCATCTCAATCATCTGCAACAGCAGCAGCAGAGTGGAGGTGTAACACGCCCCGCTGACCCCTAGCGATCCCCGCGACGACGTGGAGTTTGTGGAGCTGTTCCAGTCGTTCCTTGCCGCCTGGGGATTGGGGGTCTTAGGAGGGTTTCAGGTTCCAGGGTCAGGTGAGGGTTGGACCTAGGAGGGCCTACACATGTCTAGGGTTGAGGGAAAAAATTTAGGCGATTGGGGATGCAGATTGGGATGAATCCCCCAGAAGACTTGGTACTATAAGAGCACAGACTCGCTTGCGTTTTCCCTGAAAAAGGGTCCCATAATTACCCTACATGAAGGGCTGAATTCTGGAGCTTGTGGCTTTGAGCTACCTACAGCCTCAAGCCGCAATCAAAGAAAACGGCCACACGGTTTAGGGTTTAGGGTTTAGGGTTTAGTGCGGGGCTTGCACCAGAATCACCAGAAAGACCGCCTGGGCATCAGCTGCAGCATCTTGGAGCGCCAGGACCTTGTCACACCCTGCCTCAGATCTCATTGGTAGATTTGGGGTGTATTGAGGCTCCCCTGAAGCCTAAATCCTAAGCCCCAAAACTGAAACGCCAGACCTATCCCCCAAACCCTCAGCCCTTAGCCCTGATTCCCATGGCTCGAACCCGGGACGTGTTCCCAGGTTGGACCCTACACCCTAAGCCCTAAACCCTGAAAACTAAGCCCTAAACCTTAAACCCTTAATCCTGAACCCTAAACCCTAAGCCACGAACCCGAAACCCTAAGCCTTCTAACCGTTGTGGCGACTTTTCTCTGACCACTGAGGGGAGAGCGCAAGTTCCTCTGTACATATGTGGGGAGGGGTACGCTTAAAAGGGATAATAAGAATAATATCAATATCTACGATTTAGGGTTTAGGGTTTAGGGATAAGGGTCTAGGGTTTAGGGTTTCCCAGAATTGGGCGTGTATCCTTTCGAGGATCCCCATAATCAGGTTACAGTATTTTTGGGTCTATATCGGGGTCGAATAGAATTGCGCCCACCACCTATGTGGAATTGAACTACTCTCCACAATCTGTTTAGGGTTTAGGGTGCTTGAAGGCGTCGCTCCTGTCAACCAAGCTGCACAAAATTCAGCGCCAGTCTTGTTGTTTGCCAGGCCTGGTCCACCATTGGCACTCCACCTTTGGCGCTCACACAACACACATATCTGCTCAAAAATTCTTAGAAGCTAAGTATCTCAAATTTGTTCCGGGTTCAGATGGTGACCGTCATCCTAGCGGCATTGTGCACTGGCTTTAAATTTCTGCGGCAGCGATGACATAAAACTACCTGTTGCAAATAAAGCTGCATGTGCACCTGTGTGAAGAACTTTGTGCTGCATAGTCGTAAAGTCTTAGCTCGTAGAGTGCTTTTGGAAAGCTCCTGGTGGTCTGACACTGCGGGGTCCTTACCTGCATAATGTTGCCCCAATTCTATGACTGGTCATGAGATGCACCGCAACCCAAGAAAGGAGGGTCAGAGAGTCCTTGGGTTGATGGCATCACAGGGTCGCCATCCTCTTTCACTGGGCTGCTGTTAAGGAACTTAACTTAAGTTACCAGCATGGGTATGTCTGGCAACTAATATGGTTGCCCCATTATTGTAACTTAAGTTCAGTTCCTTAACAGCAGCCCAACTCCTTTCGTTTCAGGTCGACGCAAGCAGCTTCTATATCCAAAATCTGCGGTTTCTAGCAGTATCTCTTTTCGTCAAGAGATCCTGATGTTTCTATTAAAGTCACTGCTGCGTGGAAAGTAGAAACTTTGAACGAAAAGCGCAGCTTGTTTGCTGTGGGTTCACTCTCCTTCAGGCTTCTGGCAAGAAAGATACAGTACTTATAGGGTATATATTGGGGTTATATTGGAATAATGCAAAAGAAAATGGAAACTACCATGATATAATGGGTTATATAGGGATTATAGGGGTATATATGCTGCAGCATTTTGGGGTCGCAGCTTGGTTTGAAACAGTTGCTTCCCCTTAGCATTTCAAGGGAAGGATGCATGAACCCTAAACCCTAAACCCTAAACCCAGCCCAACACATGTTGAACTCCAAAGCTTCCAGACATCAACCTCGGGTCCGCAAGGACACCCTACCCTCACCCTTCTCAATGTCATAATAAAAGCATATTATAATATAACTTAGTATAGTTTAGTATATAATGCAAGAAAATATAATATGATATAATATACTGGCGCAGTATGAATAGAGAAAACGGAGAACGGTGATTACAGAAGATGCGCACGTTTGGAAGATGAAACAGGACTTGCTCATGCATATCCGCGCCGCGCGGACCCGTCGAAGAAGTAGTGGTTCTCACTGCAAACCGCACTTCCATCCAGCAGGTCTTGCGGATTGCTCACAGTCCCGAAGTAATACCTGCTGAGGGCTGGTTCGGCTGGTTGAGACTGTCAAGAGGGAATGTGAGTTGTTGTCCAGGATCCGGACTTCGTCTTTCGGGTGCAAAGTATAAGGATTGGGGATGCGGAGAATGAAGGGATAGGCGCATCCTTCTTCTACGTGTAGTTGCTGTGATGGTGTGCTGCTGAAAGCCCAGACTGGGTGGAATACTGTAGGTATGGGCGGCGTGGGTTCAGTCAGGGTCATTCAGTTTCTGCTGGCGTGCATGAATCTCTCGGACGACTTCATAGAACAAGCGTGTCACACAGTCGTAGAATGGAAGCACTGTAGACCCCGCCAGTCCTAAATAGAGCTGCTGGAAGAATCAAAGACCTAAATCAAAAAATGGAAGCCCCAAACACCGGACCTTAATCCCAAAGGGTACACCCCCTAAACCCTAAACCCCCTAAACCCTAAACCCCCTAAACCCTTAACCCTTAATCCTGAACCATGATCCCAAGAGGCCGAACCCCGTACTTCTAAACCCAAAACCCTAAATCCAATTGCAGACCAAAAGACCTCCCCCCAACATGAGAATCCCCCCCTAATCTTGAAGTATCCCAATATGACATAATATAGTCTCATACTATATATACATAATATACTATAGTATAATATGCGCATAATATAATACAGTATAATGTAATATACAATATAAGATAACGTATTAGAAAAGATTCAAATCCAATATAGTATACCACCATGGGAATATTTACTATTAGGAGGCGTGGGTTTCTTTTCAATGTTTGGGGTGGTGATTACTTCACAACCCAAGGCACACATCCTCTTCAGGTAGTCGATGCCAGCCTTTCAACGGAACTCGTAGGGAACAAGAAATGCAAACTACAGGCATTCAGACAGTGGAGGGGTCTAGGGGTATTTTGGGTTGAGGGTTTAGGGTTTAGGGGTATTTTGGGTTGAGGGTTTAGGGTCGAGGGGGTTGGAGTCCGGGGTTTGCTGTAGGGTTTGTGTCGCATGGGGGCTCGTAAGATGTAGGGTCTGGTCGCAGGGTCGCACATTTTGCGCGTTAGGCTTCGGCACGATAGCTTCAAGTTCAAACCCTGTAAAAAGGAATTTGAAGCCTGGGTGCTGGGGTGTGCATGGCTCAAGGGGTGGGATGAGGCCCTCAAGCGCTGAACCCCCAACCCCTAAATCCTGGAGAATGAACCCTAAGACCTAACATCTACGCAACTGGCCCGCAACCCTGAAGCGAAGCCGTGAACCCCTACAAATCAAGGGAGTTTTCAGGTGGGTAGTTTTACCAGGTGGGTACCCTTACATAAAAGCTTTTGTAGGGACACTAGAACTATGTAAGGGCTGTGTAAGGTTCATATGGGGAAAACTAGCCACCTGAAACTTCCTTAGAATAAACCCTTAAACTATAAACCCTTCAACCCCTAAACCCTAAACGCGGATCATTGAAGCCTCCCAACTGATCCTGTGCCAGGAAAGCATAAGGCTCACAGACGTTGCTGCGCGGCCTCTCCTGAAAGTTTGGGACATTATGGCTTCGGGGCGTGGAGTTTGAGGTGTGAGGTCAGGCTCCATACTCTAAATCCTAGACCCACATGTAGACCCGTGATTAATAAACCCCCTGCTGTTCAGGGCCTAATATTAGGATCCCTATTATAATGCCCATTAAGGGAAGAGGGTTTATTAATCAGGGGTCTACAATAGAGCTTTAAAGGTTAGGATGTCGACGCTTTTGGCCTTAAGGCCGAGATCTTGGGCAACCTCAGAGGTATATGGTCAAGGCCCAAGGTGAGATTTGATAACTCTTTGCACAACACTTCTGAAGCCGTAGGAAAGAAACTGCCTCAGGTTCTATAGGGGTATATTGGGTTATATATAGGGTTTGGGTTTAGGGTTTAGGGTTTAGGGTTTGGGGTTTAGAGTTTAGGGAGACTACCTCCCACACCACGCAGATACTCTTTTTGCAGAACGCAAGCTAAAAACAACAGATTCTGCGAGCTCATGCTAATTGAAATAAGGTTCCCCGTATGACCCCGATACGCTTGACTTTTGGGGAGATCTTAAAGTTCCTTTTAATCATGAAACAGGTGAACATCCAAAGCGGGAGAAGAACCCCTAAACCCAGGGTTTAGGGTTTAGGGTTTAGGATAAACCCTAAAGCCCTAAACCC